AACCCTGGCAGGAAAGGGGGGGCCGGGCTGGGACACGGAGCTCTGCCACCCACCAGCGGTCTAAGGCCGCGTCTCCGGCTGCTGCCTCCACAGACTTAGCCCCTGGCGTGGACGAGATCTACGAGGAGAGCAAGGAGGTGTTCCTGACCCCGGGGCATCCCCAGGACGGGCAGGTGGTGTTCTATGAGGTAAGGCCTCTGCCAGGGCAGCCCTGAGGGGGACCTGGCGCGCAGCCGCCCTCAGGCAGCCTCGCTCCGCTCCTGTTCCCGGCCTGCGTCTGGGCGCTCCCTGGCCGGGGCCAGCTGTGCAGCCGCAGGGGTCTCTGCCCACAGGCTGGGACGGGAGTGGTGCCGGGAGGCTCCGGTCGGGGATCATACGCAGGATCCCAGAGGAGTCCCTGCCTCAGAGCCCTGGTGGCGAGCCAGGCACGGGGGCCCAGCACAGCGGGTGTGTTTGCGTCAGCCAGTTGGCTCACCCCATGCTAGCACCAGCCCTGGCGCCTCTTCCCGCCTGAGCCCGGGCAGCACCGAGCCTAGCCCTGGTTCCCTGAGCTGGCGCGCCGGCCGGCACCCCCTCCCCAGCTGTCTGCCCCCCCTTGCCTTGGCAGGGGCCAGAGGCTCACATCTGGTGCTGGCATGGGCCCCTGGGAAGCCAGGGCTGCTCATCGCTCCCCCCCAGAGGGGGGTGTCTGGGTCCATCTGTCCGTGTGTGCAGGGGCGGGCTCCGCCTCCTGCCACCCACAAAGCACGGGGCTCTCCTTCGTCCCGTTAGATCAGCGTCGACAGAGGCCTGAAGTGGGAGGAGGCCTATGAAAAATCACTCCAGCTGACCGGCTCCCACAAGGTGAGCTGCTTCCCGGGGGGCTGGGCCGATCGGTGCCTCTCTGACCCCTCCCCGTGTGGGAAGGGGCAGGGTGAGGGAGGAAGCGGATTGGAATGGAGGAACGAGAACATCGGTGTGCCAGACGGTCTCCACTCCAGCAGCCCCTGCCCTGGCACGAGCCCAGCTCCCAGTGGGCGGCGCCGGCTGGAGTCCCACAAGGTGAGCTGCTTCCCGGGGGGCTGGGCCGATCGGTGCCTCTCTGACCCCTCCCCGTGTGGGAAGGGGCAGGGTGAGGGAGGAAGCGGATTGGAATGGAGGAACGAGAACATCGGTGTGCCAGACGGTCTCCACTCCAGCAGCCCCTGCCCTGGCACGAGCCCAGCTCCCAGTGC